AAATAAAGCTGTTATTTTGCCAGCAAATTTGAAATATTTTTTTTTGTTAGTGATTACATTCCCATGCTATTTGGTACAGGATAAAGTATAGTATTGTCTCACAGAACTTAGAAGTTCCCACCCAGCTGTCGCCTGCTTATATTATGTAATATGAAGGCAACAATCTAATATGGATAGCATCCAATTTCTAGTTACATTACAAAAGTTCAGAGTTTCTGGAAAAATTAAGAAAATATGCTTTTTTCCCCATAGTTACTATTCTTCATTTATTTATATTAATTAGATAATTCCTAATCATTAGATAGAAATTGAAGGAGAGTTTGTTTAAATGTTAATGATAGAAACTGTCTCTATGGGTCTTATTACTTTTCACTGTAAATAGAATTCCTTGCTGTAATTGCAGAAACTTGCTAACCAGTTTCAAGGGGCCTTATTAAAATGATGGCTGTCTTGACTTTTTCCTGGGGACATATTAACTCAAGCCAATTTCAAGTAACGTAAAGTTTCAACTAAAGATTAATGAATATGCAAGTTTAGTTTGAGTGTATTGAGACAATTATCCAATTCATCTGGGATGGCTCTTTCCTCTCTCTTGAAGTAATTTCTCCAGGGAAATGAGACAGAATAGTGGAGAGGGAAGAGGATTTGGAGCCATATCTGGACTTGTGCTCAAGTTTTTCTACTAGCAAAGCACGTACTCTTGGGGGTATCACCCATTCTATGCTTGAATTAAGAAATAAAAATGCTACTTAGTGTGCAGGGCTATTTGCAGTAGTAAAATATATTTATTATTAGATAACATGTACACTGCAAATTAAAAAGACAGCAATGATCACTAATAGGCAGATAATGTGACCAATAATAATACCCAACAATAATCAGCTTAGTGAAACTAATTTAATGTGCACTTAATTCTGTATAAGGCAAGGTGCTACATCATAGGTATCATATTTTTAACAAAACAATATGATATAGAGAAATCTTACATTTCAGATAAGAGGCTAGGATAATTTAAGAAATTTGCCTGAAGACACTGCCAGTAATGTTATAATTATAGCTGATGTTTTAGTTATGAATGTAGACTGCAATACTGTTAATTTCTCTTTTTATATCGATTTTAAAAGTAAGCTAGTTCTAAAATTCTTAAGAACACATATAATAGAGCTCCTTTCAATGACTATAGAAAAATCTAGGATACCTGAGTTATTTTTGGTAATATTAAGGATATAACCTTAGAAGATAGACAATAATTATGGATGCAAATATACACACAAGCACATATTATTAAACTTGATACAAGATTAAATGATTTTTGTCTTGCTGTTCTTTTGTTTTGAAATAAATCAATAGTTTAAAAAATTGCTGAACAGATGCCTGAAAATCAACTAACACAATTAATTAATTAATTAATTTATTGGTTTGGGAAGGCTCCTAAACAGTGCTTAGAAGACCCTAGAGGCCTTTACAAACCATTTTAGTATAATTGCCCACAAGAAAAACACAGGCTTGGCCCCCTCTGCTATTTCTCTGACCCCAAACCACATCATATAAACAAAGAGATATAAAGAAGCCATAATCTTGAGGTATCTATAATTTTACTACTACCTCAAGTGCTGAAGAGAAAATTAAGAGAGTATGAGAGAAGGGCTGTGGGTTAGCTGCTGGCAGGTGAGAGATGGAGAGGTACTGTACATCTATAAATTCCATCAGAGACATAGAGGCAAAGCAGAGCGAGAGCTGGTGCCTTACCTTCCTCTCCTAGTATGATCTTTTCAGCTACAACTTCCTATTGCCAGAATCCACTGGATTCAAGCGATCAAGAACATCCAGGAGGCATACTGGCATACTGGGGACATTAGTGTTGGAAAATGTGCACTGTCAGACTGTCCTCCGGTTCTTCATCAATTTGCTTGAGCGGGCCCAGTAACGTCTTATCGAATACATCACGGGGAGCTTGCCAGGCTTTGCCGTGCTAGCGAGATACTTTGGGTAGCTTGCCGGGCTCTCCGAGGGGGCGGAGGAATCGAACTCGGGTTGTGTGCACTGGTGGAGAAATGGGTGCTCGATTATTGTATGACTAAAGCTTAATCATGAAAGTTTATAACTGTATCTCGTGGAAATTAAAAAGAAGAAAAAAAGAAAAAAGAATGTCCAGGAATTCAGTAAAGCTGAATAGCTGAATCTAGAATAGCATCTTAAACCAACAATTATAGATCTGGTGTAAGTCCAAAGCATAGAACTCTTGATCTTTCTCATTCCATAAAAAAGGTGCCAGATTTCTCTATACTTTTATGTCCTTCTTTGTAACAAAAATAGCAAAAAGAGATATACCATAGTAATTACACAGTACACATGCTTGGAAGTTTGACTGGCACAATAAGAATAAACCCAATATTTTGTTAGTGGTTGATATTATTATTACTGTTGCTGTTATTTTATTATTTAAGGCTGTGATACTGTTGGGACCAGAGAGATGGTGTAATGGGTAAAGCACTTGATTTTAATCCTTGATAGATCCCCTGTACCATATATGGCCTCCTGAGAAACTCCAGGAGTGACCCTTGAGTATAACCAGAAGTAAAATCTGAGCAGAGTCCAGATGCAGTCCTTAGAACATCAGGGTATCAGCTCCCACCCCCAAGAAAGATATTTTTCTGGTTCAGGTATTGCTGAAAACTGAGAAACACAGTCATATAAGATAGAAAAATCTTAATTACCTCATCTGTTTAGATAGTGAGGATAAATTAGATTATCTCCAATGTCCACATTGAGAGTGATGCAAATTAGTTGTATTACCTAAATAAAAAGTAATGATTATAACACCATTCTTTTCATCTGATTCTGAATTGTATGTATATGTATGTTTTCACAGAAAGGAGCATATAATCACAAATCATGATAATTTCTTTTAAATATAAGTACATGGTTATGACAATGATTTGCTGAAACCTGAGTTTTTTTGGGTGCCAAAAAACATTCTTCAAAAAACTGATCCTTATTTTGAATTCTCATGAAAAGGATAATAAAATGTATGGGAGTACTAGGGACCTCATTTATTAAAGAAGATACAATAAATCAAGGTTTGGTACAGTAGTAGATGCATAACATAAAAATAATTTATATAAAACCAGATAGTAGGTAAGGAGATCAAAGTCCAACTGAAGAGAAAACCCTAGATCAGATCTTGCAGAATCTTGCAAACTATTTTACATAAAGTTACCTTTATTCTAAGAATGTTAGAAAGCCATTGACTCTTTTCTAATCTGTTAGAACCTGCCGTCAGTACTCATCAATACACTGGCTCGGCTCTTCACTCGCTACCTGTCTGAATGCAAGGTTCCATCTCAATGGAAAACCAGCAGGACCATACTACTGTTCAAGAAGGGAGACATCCATGACATTGGCAACTATCGCCCGATCTGCCTATTGTCTGTCATCTACAAGTTGTTCACTCGAGTCATCCTGAATAGGATTGGCAGAACACTAGATGAAGGACAACCATGTGAGCAAGCAGGGTTCCGCAAAGGATTCAGCACCATCGACCATATCCACACGATAACCAAACTCATTGAGGTTTCTCGGGAATTCAAGATGCCGCTCTGCTTAACATTCATTGATTTAAAGAAGGCCTTTGATTCTGTTGAGACGGAAGCGGTCATTGAAGCCCTAGCCAATCAGGGCATTCAAGCCCAATACATCAGGATCCTCCGTGAGCTGTATTGCGGATTCACTACCAGGATCTCACCATTCTACAAAGAAGTGATCGTTGATGTCAAGAGAGGGGTGCGGCAGGGTGATACCATTTCACCAAAACTCTTCAGTGCCACCCTCGAGAACATCATGCGACGACTGGAATGGGAAGGAATGGGAGTGAAGATAGATGGTCGGCAACTACACCACCTCCGCTTTGCTGATGACATTGTTTTAATAACACCAAACATCAGCCAAGCGGCACAAATGCTGGCCGACTTTGACCGTGAGTGTGGAAAGGTAGGACTACAGCTGAATCTTACGAAGACAATGTTTATGAGAAACAGCCTTGTTCCTGACGCCCCATTCGCTCTCAATGGAACGACCATCTCCGAATGCAACAGCTATGTGTACCTAGGTCGAGAGGTCAACATGACAAATGACCTGGCACCCGAGCTGCGCAGGAGGAAGAGAGCGGCTTGGAACGCCTTCAAGAACGTCGAAGAAATAGCTAAGAGGACGAAGAACCTCCAGCTCCGGGCACATCTCTTTGATTCCACTGTTCTTCCTGCATTAACATATGCCTCAGAGACCTGGGCCCTACGCAAACAAGATGAGAACGCCATTCAGGTCTCCCAAAGAAGAATAGAAAGAGCTATGCTTGGAATATCACGTTTCACTCAAATGAGAGAACGAATCCGGAGTTCTGACATCCGTCGACGATCAAGGATCAGGGACGCTGTCTCATTTGCCAAGGTGTCGAAAATCAGATGGGCTGGTCACGTAATGAGATTTAAAGACGACCGTTGGACTAGAGCTGTTACTGATTGGATTCCACGGGATGTCAAGAGACCGCGTGGCCGCCCACCTACCAGATGGTCAGACTTCTTTGTCAAGGTCATGAACGATCGGTTTGAGGCCCTCCATGTTCCCGGAGCGAAGAGATGCCATTGGGCTACACTAGCACGCGACAGGGACAAATGGAGACGTTACTGGCGCCCGCTCGAGCAAATCGACGACTAACGGGAAGTTAAGTGATTAAGTGATTAAGTGATTCTAAGAATGTTAGAAAGCCATTGACTCTTTTCTAATCTGTGGGGTCATTAGCAAAGTTTGCATTTCCAAAAGTTCCTGAACTAAAATATCACTTTGACAGCTTTAAGTAAGAAAGTTTTGTGCTTATGGATATTGGAGGGTAGAAGTGAAGCTTGAGGAAAATTAAATGAAGGCAAATACCTGCAAGAAAAAAATTGTATGGTATTTGAGATAAGGGAGATAAAGTATTCCAGGTTGAATACTATTATTCAAAGGACATATTGGAAAAGTAAAAGGATCATTTACGAAGATTAAGCACATATAATAGAAAGCAAATTGTGGGGTAAATGTTAAGAATTTCATCTTGAAAATGTAGAAATGGGATTGTTTCAAGAAATCCCATTTAAACTCACAGCACTGGATTTTGGCCATTAAACTATGAAGCTAAAACCTGGTGCACAAGATAGAAAAATTAATTTGAATTTTACTGATTGAAGTTATAAACAGGATGAAGGCATACATAAAAAGGAAAAGCTTAAAAAATAACAGCAGAAAAGTAGAGGCTAAAACTTAAATAAGCAGGGTCAGAAAAGAAAAAAGAAAATGTGATCTCTATTAAAATACTATTGTCATTTTATTTTTTATGGTCTTAAAATTTTTATAGAACTATGAAAGACCTGGCATATTGAATACTCTCGGTAGCTTGCCAGGCTCTCCGAGAGGGGTGGAGGAATCAAACCAGGCTCTGCTGGGCTGGCTGCACACAAGGCAAACACCCTACCACTGTGCTATCACTCCAGCCCAATATGCCAAACACAGTAACAAGAAGTCTCACAGTGGAGACATTTACTGGGCTCGCTCGAGCAAAATGATGAACAACGGGAGGACAGAGACAGAGATGAAATACCTAGAAGAACAAGGTAGGTTATATAAAGGTTGATCTAAAAATACGTTATGAAATTGAGCTGCACAGATATATTGTCAACTTATCTTTGCAGAATGAGACGCTAAACACTGGGAAAAGTATATTCTTCTCAATGAATGACTGAATGAATGGGTTGTCTTCTCAATGAATGGAAAACCTGCTATGAATGTGTCGCAAATGAAATCAGACCCTATCTTAAGACATGTAAAATCAACTCAAAACGAGTTAAGTAATTAAAAACAGAACTGCAACTATAAAAACCATAGAAGAAATTATAGGGGAGAAATTGTATGGCATTGAGCATGTCAATTGTACATTGGACATAATATCAAAAGCATAAAGAGCTAAAGCAATATTAAACATGTAGGACTACAGAAGATTAAATGTATTCTGAACTATTATGTATATCCTACTCTTGCCTTTCTGGAACTTGTTTGATGGGTAGACTTGAGGTATGGTCTTTTAGGAATATTGATAATTCAGATTATTTTTGAAATTCCCAATGTGTCTAGCTCATATCACTTGATAAAACTTGTGAAATCACTCGTCTATCTTTCAAATATCTCTGGAGATTTAAGCTGAGACCCAAAGGGATCTAGGAAGTCATAAATTGCCCAACCCACTTCAGAATGAGCTCATTAGGAGTTAGGATCACTGCAAACCAGGTGAGTCATAGTGGGCTTTGTACATGAAGAGAATCACCAATCTCCATCCTGGACCTAGTTTCCCATTTAGAATATCTTTACTTGGTTAACTGTGGCAGTAAATGAAATCAGTTCAAATTTAGAGATAATATGACCAATATCCATACATTTCTTATCTATTCTCTAATTACCTCTAAAATTAGACAAATAGCTATTTGTAATTAAGGTGTTGTTTTCTTCTCTCTCAGTTCTCTCTCTCTCCCTCTCTCTCTCACACACAGACACACAGACACAGACACAGACACAGACACAGACACACACACACACACACACACACACACACACACACACTCCTTAAGTGGCCTTTTGTTGAGCAAACTGGATAATCTCCTAGTATTAGCCCTGCACAAAGTTTCTATGCTATGGTTAATGAAGAACTATAAGGGCAATGAGATTTCCTGTCTAACTAAACCAAGAATGAGTCAACATTACTGACACAAGGCTTAATGCTGGTAACAGTATATATTCCCCATCTATACTCAGTCTTTAGAAACACTGTCCTCCCGTTGTTCATTGATTTGCTCGAGCGAGCCCATTGTGAGACCTGTTACTGTGTTTGCCAGGCTTTGCTGTGCAGGCGAGATACTCTCGGCGGCTTGCCAGGCTCTCCCAGAGGGGCGGAGGAATAAAACCCAGCTCCGCTGGCCGCATGCAAGGCAAACACCCTACTGTTGTGCTATCGCTCCAGCCCTTGGAAACACCAAACATAAAAAATTCCCTTTTAGAATAAAAAGGAAAAATGAGAATCTAGTGTTTTTCTCATTTTGCCTCTCTGAGATGTTGAGCCTCTAGCAGGGCTCAAAAGTACTCAGCTACAAATCTGGACTTTTTGCATGTCTGTTACACAAAGGAAGCATCTTATACTGAAGAAATATCCATCTTAGCTAACCTTCAGTATATTGGATGATTCTATTGGTTATTTGCTATGTTGTGGAGAGAGAAATAAGTTTATACAGATCTGGGAAGAGGATGCTTTGGTGGGAAAATCCATACAGATCCTGATAAAGTTCAGACCAGGGCCTTAATTGACTAGCTAGTGGATCAATCCTGCTATCATTAACAAAGAAAGCATCAGAGAAAAGAGGAGGGTCTCCAAGGCCCTTTTCTTCTTCTTAATTACTGAGCACTTTTGTTATTCTGTTCTTGCGTTAATTTTCAAAGTATACAAACATCAAAGGTATGTCTCTAATCTTTCACAAGCAAAGAAAACTCTTTAATCATTAGTATAAAGTCAAATTTAATTTTCTCTGTAGCTATGTTTTGAGAATCTCAGTGGGAAACTTAGAATTTACAGAGACTAGTAGAAAACCAAATAAATTAAATCACTAAAAATAATTAGCAAGAAAGGCTGAAAATAGAACCTATTGATTTTAATTCTTGAAAATATAATTTATGGGGTTAGAATGTGGCTCAGTGATGGAGTACAAACTCTGTCTCCTCAGTAGTGAGTTACTTTATTATTTTTTAAATCTTTCTATTTAACTTCTATAAAAAGAGAAAATATATATCCAATGTAATTATACATATATCAATTTCATCGGTTCTTTTATGTTCTCTAAAACTCAGTATCTTACCCACACACTTGCACATACATGTGTATTGATTGAAATTTCTTTTTTTTTTAATTTGGGGAAAACACTCAAATGTTCTCAGGGCTTACTCCTGGCTCTATGTTCAGGGATTACTGTGGTAGGCTCAGGGGAAACATGTGTAGTGTTGAGTTTTAAAGCCAGGTCTGCCAAAAACCCTACCCATTGTACTATTGCTCTGGCCTGGAATTTTATTCTTTTAACCATAAGGTTGTAAGACTCTATATTCCTTAACAATAAATCTCTGTTATGATTGTAATTATTTTAGTTTCTAATATTTAAACTTATATGTATTTCTAGTTTTAATAATTATCAAATCTAAATGAAACTTTCAATTGAAATGTTCCTCATTAAATAGTGCCTTGATGCCTTGATTAAGACATCAAAGCATCTAGAAATCTAAATTGTTTAGAAGTCTAAATACTTTAAAAACTTGGGTTTTTTTAAAAGTAATCATAGATGAGAAATGTCTTTTATTTGTAAAGTGAGATGAAGTGAAACAAAAATTTAGAAACAAACCAAGTACAGAGGGACCTCCTGAGAAAATATTTTCAAAAGAAACACATGAAATAAAATGATTAAAAGTTACTTTTTAAAAACTGTTATTGACTGAATATCCATAGATGTGTCTTTTCTAAAACAAAAATAGGCATATTAGAGCTTGAATTGTATTGGAATGGATGAAAACTCAGTCTGAGCCATATGTTAGAAAAACAAACAGGAGAAGTAAATTTGGAAACATGCCTGAGATATGCCTGTCATTATCATCAACAAATTTATTCTCTGATTACTGCTTCTCAAACACTATTGGGCATTGAAAACACCTAAGGAGCCTTAAAAATAATGATTCCTCATTTCACAGACTACCCATACAAAGCCCTGGTTAAGTTCTGCATAAATTTGGTCAAATTGCCTGGGTTTTGGAAAGTGAAAGTTCTATGATTTTTCCAATGTCAATAATTTTGAGGTAAAATTTACTCCAAGAATGGTTTGCACAACAAGGCAATGCACAACGATGATTATTTAAAGAAATATTTCGGTCAACTGATTTCAGGAACCTCCTTTCAAATTTTTTCAATGAAGTGTAAATACCTTAATAATATGAGAGAAATGAAACGGTAATGACTTTAGAACATGTGCAGACATTAATTGAAGTTTATCGAGGAAATTATTTTGAAAAAAATAGAGAAATTGAGTTAATTCAATGGGCTGAGTATACATTTTGCATCTGGAAGGCTGGGATTTGATCTCAATCCCACACGGTCCCTTGAATACCAGCAGGGAATGGACAACAGCAGGCATATTGCCTGAGCATTGCCAATGAGGTCCAAATAAACAAAATAAATCAAAATTAGAGGAGCTGAGAAAAATAATGCAGAGATCTGTAAGATTATGCATGTTTTCTGAGTACTTTATGGATTTTCATGGGTAATCTTACTTCTATATGTTTGTTAAATTAATTGAATCTGGAATCTAAATTATACCACATTGTGAAACTGTTTAAACTCTATTTTCTTTCAGTAATATTTGGCTTATATATGACACAAATATCAAACATAATTTCCATTTTAGTTATCATAAATATCTATATTTAATATTTTCATTGACATATTTCTTTTTTTATATATTTTCCTCATATTTTATTTGGCGTATACTTTGGAATTACTACAAACAACCAAAGTTACAATATAAGAAATCACAATGCACAGATAGCTTTTGTTGTTTAAATTATTGTGATAAATTAAGATATTTCACTGACAATTTTTCAAAGAAGTTGGTTTATTCTTTGTTCTAAGGAAACACAATAACTGTATTAATTAGCGTTCATATCTTAACTTCACAGCTAGAAATAAGGTAATATGCTGTGAGAAAAGTGTTGACTATGTTCAAGCTCCAAAGCTTTGAGATAATCTTTTAACTAAGGAGTAATTTAGCAGGAAATGTACTATTGCACAATAGCACACTGGCAAAGTACATGGAAACTTAGCAATCTTCAATAAAGTATGTTTTTTCTTTTGTAACTATTAAGAACTTTGAAAAAATGGCAGCTTTTACCCACCTGGATTATTCAATTACAGTGATATAAATTTTTATCAATATGGCATAATAAGTAGAAATTGAGACATACCTAGTCATACTCATGTGTAACCACTACTTTTTATTTATCCATATGTTTGGTTTGGATTTCAGTTATTAATCAACTTTGGTTGCATGGAACTTTTGTTTCAACAGAAGCAAGATATGTGAACTCATATATTGCACCAAAGAAGGTCTGATACCAACAGAAATGATCACAAATAATGATAATGATAATAGTGGAAATAAATAAAATTTGAGCCTGACAGCCAGTGTAATTATCACTTATAATAATAATTTAAATGAATTTGGAAGTATGATAGAGTTAGATATGTGAAAGTCTGGAAATCCTCCATCTTTGATAAAATTTGTATCTTCATTTTATGGAAATCAAAGTCAAGAGGAATAACTAAAATTCACACAGACTGATATAAGGCTTAATAAAACTGGGCATTTCTAGTCAGAAGACAACCCAAACTTATTCCTAGCATGCATCAAGAATGCCACAGATACATATATATATATATATATATATATATATATATATATATATATACCCACTTCCCATATATATATATGGGGGTTATAGATATGTGTATATGTTTTTACTTATATAACATTGTGTTTTTACTTTTCTAAAATTGTTTACTGATTATTTCTTTACAATATGTTGCTAAAAATGAAGCCTGCTAAAATAAGTGCTTCCAGTATTTAAACTTTTAAACTCTTGGAATATATTAATTCATATTTATAGAGAAAGAATTTTATCAAGATGCAGCGGTAGCACAGCAGGTAGGTCATTTGCCTTGCATGCGGTTGACCCGGGTTCAATTCCTCTGTCCCTCTCGGAGAGCCCAGAAAGCTACCAAGAGTATCCCGCCTACATGGCAGAGCCTGGGAAGCTACCCGTGGGGTATTTGATATGCCAAAAATAGTAACAATAACTCTCACTATGGGGGCATTACTGGTGCCTGCTCCAGCAAATCGATGAACAACAGGATGACAGAGCTACAGTGCTACAGTATCACTGTATCACTGTCATCCTGTTGTTCATCAATTTCCTCGAGCAGGCACCAGTAATGTCTCCTTCGTCCTAGCCCTGAGATTTTAGAAAGTGCCACATTTGAGCTTTTTTAGGATCAGGGGAATGAGACCCATCATTGCTACTGGGTTTTGGCAAATTGATTACTCCACGGGGAGTTTACCAGACTCTGCAGTGTGGGCAGGATAGTTTCGGTAGCCTGCTGGGTTCTTCAAGAGTAAGAACTAGATAATAAGAGATCGCTACAGTGCTATAATAGTTCAGAATAATAGGTTATTTTACAAATTATATAGTGTTTGTTCTTCTGACAGTTAACTTCAAAATGTGGGTTTTTGAATAGAAAAAAATGATCTATTTAACTCCTGTGCAAACAATGAGATATTGCCCCAACTTAGAACTCATTTCTGTTTAGCCTCTATAACATTAAGTACTTATTTCCTTTTGATTACAGAAAGAATGTACAAAAATTAGTTAAGTTATAGTAAATCATTTTGATGTTTTAAGACTGTGGTGAAAAACACAAATTGAAAAATAGTCAATAAATACAATTGCACATGGGCTACCTGTTTTAGTGCTGTTCCATTTATGTATAAAAAAGAAAGAGGCAGCAAACATGCTGAAATATTAGTGTCTCAAGTACTCTCATTCAGATATTTGACTTTTCACCAGCACCCTCCCAACATTTCAAAGCAAACAAGTGCTTCAGGAAGCTATTCTGAAGTCTCTCCTTGGGGGCAAGGATGGCATATGATTGGAAAGCTAATTTATACATTTTACCCACAAGATAACATGATTCAAGATCGATCGATAGTCACCTGTGATCACTGATCCCTCTCCATTGGCAGGGCTGGGAGAAGTGTCCTTTGCACTTATTAACTTGCAGTCAATCTTGCCAAGTCTTCCAGAATAGATGGCTGAAGAGAACATCACTTATGTCACCGAGTTCATTCTCAAGGGAATTACAGACCGGCCTGAACTTCAGGCCCCATGCTTTGTGTTGTTTTTAATCATCTATACGGTCACAGTATTGGGCAACCTGGGACTGATTACTGTAATCAGGGTAGACAGCAGACTCCACACACCTATGTACTTCTTCCTGAGTCACTTAGCCTTTGTGGATGTTTGTTACTCCTCTGCTATCACGCCCAAGATGATGGTGAATTTTGTGGTGGAGCAAAACACGATTCCTTTCTACGCATGTGCAACTCAGCTGGGCTGTTTTCTCACCTTCATGATCACCGAGTGTTTCCTCCTGGCTTCCATGGCCTATGATCGGTACGTAGCCATCTGCAGCCCCTTGCATTATACAACACTGATGTCCCAAACCGTCTGCATTCGACTCGTGGCAGTTCCTTATATCTACAGTTTTCTAGTTGCCCTATTCCATACCATTGTTACCTTTCGTCTAACCTACTGTGGCCCCAATGTAATTAACCATTTCTATTGTGATGACCTTCCTCTGTTGGCTCTGTCCTGCTCAGACACGCACATCAAAGAAATTCTGATCTTTGCTTTTGCTGGTTTTGATATGATCTGTTCTTCTTCCATTGTCCTCACCTCGTATGTTTTTATCATCGCTGCCATCCTAAAGATCCGCTCTAATCAGGGGCGCCGCAAAGTCATTTCTACTTGTGGATCCCATATGGTGGCTGTCACAATTTTCTATGGCACATTGATCTTCATGTACCTCCAGCCCAAGTCCAACCACTCTCTCGACACAGACAAAATGGCATCTGTGTTTTATACAGTGGTAATCCCCATGCTGAACCCCTTGATCTATAGCCTAAGGAATAAAGAGGTTAAAGACGCTTCCAAGAAGGCATTGGAAAAGGGGTATGAGTCTTTAAAGATGTTAAGAATGGGGAAATCATAATAAAGAACAAATGCTTTATTACACAAGAAAATAAATAAAACTTTCTTTTGTGGATATTTTATTTTTGCAATATTTTCCAAGGAATCAACATGTGACTGGTACTTCAAAAGACTTGAACATTTTCTACAAGGATCTTGGAAAGTCAGTATCATACAGACCCTATGTAAGCCATCACACTTAGGAAAGATCACTAAACATATGTTCAAATATGAACATAGACTCATGATAAAAGACATAGGTGTGTCCCAAGCCAATGCAGAAGCATATTTTTGTTTGAATTCAGAACTCTGGAACCAAGATTGCCTGAGATATATCACCATGTATTTCCTTTATTAACTCTGCAGCCTTGTGCAATGGAACTTCAAGCTGTTGAATATCTGTCTAATTCAGAAGAACAATGTGGTTCAATTCATGGTTTATTTTGAGCACTAAGGCCAATATTGCTGAATATCAGGAGAATATTCATGATAATAAATGCAATGTATTTGTTAGACACATACTCCTTGGAAGTAAATAAAGATTAATTCATGGGCTCTCAAAAGCTAAGGAAAAAGCATTCTCCCACCTAATAGGAACTGAAGGACTTAGAGGATATAGTCCTTTGAATATCATCAAAGTAACAGTGAAGTAGGAGAGTTTGTTTTTGAGTCTCATGCTCCTTTTGTTACCTAAGGTCCTAGAACTAAAATAATGAGAATTCTAAAAGCATATTCAAATCTACTTTAATTTTGTGTGTATGTAAGTCAGGGGAACATTCAGGTGTGCTCAGGGCTTACTATTCTGGATTCTAGGGACCACATGAGGTGCTGGGACTCAAATGCAAGTTGACTCGGTCGCTTGCAAGGCAAGCACTTACCTTGTGGCCTTATCTCTCCAACCCCAATTTTGTCTACTCAACACTATTGATACACATGATACACTGTCCTCCCGTTGTTCATCGATTTTTCTCGAGCGGGTCCAGTAACGTCTCCATTGTGAGACTTTGTTGTTACTGTGCTTGGCATATTGAATACGTCACAGGTGGCTTGCCAGGCTCTGCCTGCATAGCTTGCTGGGCTCTCCGAGAGGGGTGGAGGAATCAAACTCGGGTCGGCCATGTTGGCTGCGTGCAAGGCAAATGCCCTACCACTGTGCTATTGCTCCACCCTATTGATATTACTAAAAATGATACTATCATTGAGATTTTTCTAAACTTGAATATGACATTGTTATAAATATATTTGGAAGAGCACATTTTACAAGAAATTGTGCTCAGAAGTAAAAGAATTTAATGTATTTGCACATCTGTTTTAATAGAAATAATTTTGCTATGGTGTCATTTATTTCTATCTGCTACTTATTTGATCACTTTTATAGATAAGATTATGGCATGCAGTTTAAAATTATTTGATATGTTTTATTTTGACATATTAAAAATGGAATAGACTAGTGGTGTAAGACATCAAACACATCTTAGAAGGAGCTCGTACTTAGCCATTTTCATTACACAGAATACAAGTAGAGATTTTCTCTACAAAGTAAATGTTTCCCCCTCTATTTTTCACTTATACATACCTCAAACATGCTGCCATAAGGTGCTTTTCAAACACTGAGAATTGAATTGAATCTTATTTTTAAAGGAAACTACAGAAAAATATAGTGTTTCTAATCAACAAATACCATTCTTCATGTGTAATTTTTTTTTTTAAATATGGAACGCTTCACGAATTTGCATGTCATCCTTGCGCAGGGGCCATGCTAATCTTCTCTGTATCGTTCCAATTTTAGTATATGTGCTGCCGAAGCAAGCACGTCTTCATGTGTATTTTTCTAAAGACAGTTACACATATATTTCATCAATCTCATCCAGATGGCTTCAAGCATTTTTCAAAGTATATTGTCACATTTTTATAGGTTAAGAAATTCAGAATTTTGTCACCTTACCTGAAGAACACTGCTTTGTGAAAGTTTTACTACACTTTTGTGCTTCATAAATGTATCGACAAAAGTATCACATAAAAATAGTATGATACTAATATCTAAGGCCAGGTAAAATAGGGACCTGAAGGACTGATCAATGATTGGAAGCTTGTCACAACTGTTTGGGAGATGAAAGATGGTTAGAATGAAGAAGGGACCAGTATGACAATAGCTGGAAATGATTGCTTTGGACCAGAACTGAGTGTTGAATGTAGGTAAGTGGATATACATAATAACCTTTCAGTATCTGTATTGCAAACCATCACTGTCCTCCTGTTGTTCCTTGATTTGCTTGAGCGGGTCCAGTAACGTCTCCATTGGAGACTTTGTTGTTACTGTGTTTGGCATATCAAATACATCACGGGTAGCTTGCCAGGCTCTGCCTTGCAGACGAGATACTCTCGGTAGCTTGCCGGGCTCTCCGAGAGTGGTGGAGGAATCGAACTCGGGTCGGCCATGTTGGCTGCGTGCAAGGCAAACGCCCTACTGCTGTGCTATCACTCCAGCTATCGCTTTCAAAAAAAGAATTGCAAACCATAATGCCCCAAAATGAAAGAGAGAGAGAGATGGAGACAGACAGACAGACAGATAGAGAGACAGAGACATAGACACACAGAGAGATAGAAAAGGGGTGGGGGGGCAGATGAAAAGTATCTGCCATAGAGGCAGGCTGGGGTGGGGAAGGGAAACTGGTTACATTGGTGGTGGGAAACGTACACAAAATGTAGCACTGTAGCACTGTCCTGTTGTTCATCGATTTGCTAAAGGGGGCCCAGAAACATCTCCATTGTGAGACTTGTTGTTATTGTGTTTGGCATATTGAATACATCATTGGTAGCTTGACAGGCTTTGCCCACGAGGGCAAGATACTCTTGGTAGCTTGCTGGGCTCTCCGAGAGTGGCAGAGGAATCAAACCCAGATATGCAGGGCTGGCCATGTTCAAGGCAAATGCCCTACCGCTGTGCTGTGCTCCAGCCCACACAAAATAAAAAAAATCAAATTTAATATTATAATTAAATTTTAATAATTAAAAAGTGTCACCAACAGTAACAACTTAAATATTAAATTGAAGTTTTGAAATCTTTACACAATTTTCATGCTTTACTACTAGTGATCACTTAAGATAAGACTGGCTTCTCTCAGGTACATGAGTCAGGTGGACCTGGTAGATAGGCATGGTGTTGAGCTCATTCCTGCGATAGTGTATTCAGAGCTGTGCAGACTCACAGGCCATTCTCAGAGGTTACTCCAGATCTAAAAGCACAGTCACTCAATCAGATATTAATATTGAAAACAAGATACCTCATTTTTGTATTTAGATATATTTCAATTGAATACCTGTATTTTCAGCTCTCCTTCTGTGGTTCCTTTGAAATCTATTTATCTGGGTAGAAAAACCAACAGGATGACTAAAGAAAAAGATGAATTAATAATCTTTGTCAGCATCCTATTCTAGTAAAGAATATGACTATTTTCAGAGATTTGGTCCCAAACTTAAGGTTTCCTACTTCTGGTTTTGTGATATGGAATATTACAGTTATAAGGAAATTGATTGTCTTACATGCTGGCATTTGGGCTGGAGTGATAGCACAGCGGTAGGGCATTTGCCTTGCACGCAGCCAACATGGTCGACCCGAGTTCGATTCCTCCGCCCCTCTCGGAGAGCCCGGCAAGCTACCGAGAGTATCTCGCCTGCACGGCAGAACCTGGCAAGCTCCCCGTGATGCATTCGATATGCCAGACACAGTAACAATAAGTCTCATGATGGAGACGTTACTGGGCCTGCTTGAGCAACTCGATGAACAACGGGAAGACCGTAACCGTGACATGCTGGCATTTAAGAATTTAGATAAAAATATATGTAAGAGGCCAAGAAGATGGCTCAGGAGTTGAGGTACATACACAGTAACAACAAAAGCTCCAATGGAGACGTTACTGGGCCCACTTGAGCAAATCGATGAACAACGGGAGGGCCTTTACCTTTACCTTTACCTAATCCCAACACCATTACACCTTAGCACTACCCAAACCTCCCCCAAAGGCAGATCATAAATAATTTATTTTGTATTTTTGGGGCTGGAGCGATAGCACAGTGGTAGGGCGTTTGCCTTGCACGCAGTCAACATGGCCGACCTGAGTATTCGATATGCCAAACACAGTAACAACAAAATCTCCAATGGAGACGTTACTGGGCCCGCTCGAGCAAATCGAGGTACATACACAAGACCTAAAATTCAATGCTTTTCACTGCCTTTCCCCTGATCACTTCTTTGTCTAACTATTGCTGTATCACTGATGCAGCATTTAACCACTGGAGTGATTATCACTTATCTCCAAGAGTGATTCCCTGTTCCCTTGAGTGTTAAAATGTTTCTTTTATACTTATAGCTAATGATTGGTCTATATTGGGGGTGGGGCTTAGGGGAGCTTTATATTCAAAGGTATAATACGGCTGGGGTTCAGTGGGGTATGCTATGTGCTGTGTCTGTAACTGAGCACAAAGTCTAGGATATGTAAAGCATGTGCTCTATATGTCAGCCACATCCCTAGCCTTAGCAGTCTACTTAAAAATCTAGAAAATGGGGGATGGAGAGACAGCTCAAAGTGTTGAGTGCATTCTGTATGTGTGAGAGACTTGGTTCTATTGCGAGTAGGATATGGTCCCCACCTGGAACATACCTTGACTATTCAGCACAGTGGCACCTGAATACTAAAGATTTCGCCTCAAAATAGAAAAGTTCAGAATAAATGAATAATGATGACAGTGATTCATTTGTTATTCATCCCTTCTGTAATGAAGGGGCAGATTCATCGATTGATAGCAAAGTGAGTTGGAGAGGCTTTTTCTTTGAGTGCTCATCCCCTACCCCATTTACCTGAAATTACGTACTCTCCTTTTATTCCCTTTTGAAATCAATGTGTAATTCTCATGGCGGTTTTGTAAAGGAGGTGTTTGTTAGGGGAGAATCCGTAGCCTGCAGCTAAGGGGAGATGAAGATATTAGTTTCACAGAAGCAAGAAGGGGTTGGAATGCAGCTAG